TTTAATGTCTGCTGATGAAGGCATGTGCTCAGTCCTGGTACTCCTGGACCTTAGCGCTGCTTTTGACACCATTGATCACAACATCATGTTAGACAGACTGAGGCACTGGGTGGGGATCTCTGGTACGGCCCTAGAATGGTTTTCATCCTACCTGTCAAATAGGAAGTTTTGTGTGTCTCTAAACATCTATGTCTCCTCATTCTGTCCAGTTAAATATGGTGTGCCTCAGGGGTCGGTCTTAGGACCCATTTTGTTTTCCTTGTATCTGCTTCCCCTTGGACATATTATCCATAAACATGGCATTTCTTTTCATATTTATGCTGATGACACACAAATATACTTGCCCGTCAGATCCACAGTCCCTGGAATGCTGAGTTCACTTAACAACTGCCTTTGTGAAGTAAAAAAATGGATGTCAAATAATTTCCTCCAGCTGAACTCAGACAAAACAGAAATCCTGGTCATCGGGTCTCAGCAGATGGCAAATCAAATACTGCCATCTGCTGGTTCCCTAGTAAATCACATTAAGCCTGTGGCAAAGAACCTTGGTGTTTGGTTTGATAATAATTTAAATTTCGAGCAGCACACCACAAAGCTTGTTCAATCATGTTTTTATCAACTTAGAAATATAGCAAAAATTCGATCTATGTTAACTTTTAAGGACACCGAGACCATTTTACACGCCTTCCTCTCATCACGCCTGGATTATTGCAACAGCTTTTCACCTGTTTAACCCAAAAATCTATTGATCGACTCCAGACTGTCCAGAACTCAGCTGCCAGGCTTTTAACCAGAACAAAGAAATATGACCACATTACTCCTATTTTAGCTTCATTACACTGGCTCCCAGTATGTTTTAGAATTGACTTTAAAATTCTATTGATCACTTTTAAAGCTCTTCATGGCCTGTCGCCTTGTTATATTTCTGACCTTTTAGTCCCATACGCACCAGCACGTACCTTGAGATCCTCGGGCAGAGGTCTGTTGTCTGTTCCAGAGTCTCGACTGAAAACTAAAAGTGACAGAGCGTTTGCTGTCAGGGCCCCGAGGCTCTGGAACAGCCTGCCCGAGGAAATCAGGTCGGCTGAGTCAGTGAACTCTTTTAAGTCCCTTCTTAAAACATACTTCTATAGGAGAGCCTTTCCCGATCTTATTTGACTTTATTTTATCCCTTTTATTTTATTGTATTTTACTAATTTTATATTAATCTGTATTTTAGTCTTGTATTCAATGTTTTTCAATTGGAATGTTTTGTTTTGTTTTTTGTATTATTCTTTACACTTGTTAAAGCACTTTGTATGTATGTTTTTGAAAAGTGCTCTACAAATAAGGATTATTATCATTATTATATTATTATCGTAAAACTGGCCACCTTTGGCAACAGCCGAGATAAACCTATCAGTGCCTGAACTGTTAAAATGACAAAAGGAACACTGACCAGATATTAGCATTTTCCTGAAACAGCCTATCAAAACTCTTCGTGAGAGAGGGCAGGAAACCCTAAACTGCCCCCCACACGCGTAACCATGGCAACTGACCTTGCTCTTTGTTTAATTACCTCACATCAAAGGATATTCATCTACTCACGCCTTGGTGTGAGAAAATCCAGGACACCAAGGACAGCCCTGAACTCCTTTGTGTAAACAAAGACTGCTGTCTCCTCAAAACTCCAAGCATTACCTTGTTTAATTAAATCTTTAAAGTTAGTTGACTAGGTCTCTCCACTACATTTGAGTAGTTATGTTACCATGTGATTGTTAATTGTTGTTGAAAAGAATCTAAATAAGTTAATTTTGCAGTGTTTTTAATTTTCAGCAAGGTTAATGACATTCCTTAATTTTATGTTTAACCAATGCTTGTTCACAATACTTTCTGACACTTCCTTTAGAAATGATGATAAAGAAATGTCATCCTATACTCGATTAATTTGCCAGCTTGAATTTAAGGTTAAATAACTAAATTCCCCAGCTCCTTAGCAAAGATTGTTTTAAGGTTAATCCAAGCTATCGTCATGTAACCTGAGCTCCCCCAAGTGAACAAAATAAGTATTACAGGCCATCGTCTGAAATGCCGCGTTTATAAACATCACTCTGAAATTTATCTTGTAAATAATATAATGCCATTCGTGTATTTTGCTTATATTCTCTAAGAACGTGTAACAGCCAATAGCCTATATCCAGAAAGCTAGTTAAGTTCCTCTTATCTGTGATTCCTATGAAGTGCTAAGCCTTGTAAAGTCTAACTACTGACAATTGTTCTCCTTTTTATCAAATGCTTAAAACTAAGAACGGTATACCCGTTTGACAATTGAGGTTTGATTGTGGGAAGATATTTGATTAAAATACGCGCCAATAGATTTTGTTTTGATTAACTTTAATATGTCTAAAGAAAGACAGTCTCTCGGGAAACCGGAAACAAGCCCTTCCTCCGGGAAACAAAGGACTTCCCTCTGGGAACCCACCCCCTAACAGACAAAAGCAGCGACCCACGCTGTCCCTCACTCTCTTGTCCTCTGCTTGGTCCTGGCCCTTCAATGGCGCTTCAGCACGCGCCCAGCATGCCCCCTCTCCCGGCAACGCCCTAAGAGTTCGGCCCGGCGCAGCGAACGTCCTTTGTTCATTTCAAGCTACACAAGCGAAGTGCCGCGACCTCAGCTTTCCCTCGTTTAACAGCAACTTTATTTGCGTATTATTTTCAATGGTTTTGTTTTGTTAAAAGTTATCAGTCCGTTAAGTTACACTAGTTTTAACTAGTATATAGTACCCTTTTCTTTAAAAACTACTCCTATTCCAATGATGTGAATGTAATGTGCAAATATATTGTTAACTTTTTGAAAACAGATTTTTAGTTTTAGTTTTGTATTTATTATAATTAATTTGTATGAAAATGTGTTGTACAGCCTGCCAAGTATTCACAATATATTAAGGTACTTCCTTTAAAGCAGTGGTATTGTGCTTTTTGGCTTTTTCCCTCTTCTTTAATGAGTTATAAAAGACTAAAGTCCAGCCCAAAGGGAGTTCCCATCTCTGACAGAAAACGCTCTGAATTGTCTGAAAACAGCTCGTTTGTAGTCCAGCCGTTTCCCTTTCGCTGTGACGTCACAGGGATGAAAGCAAAATGTGAGTAATTTAACGCAGGCCAAGTGGCTAGTCCAACGCCCTCAAACACTGAGCTGCAGAACACACCTCTCCTCTCCCTTCCAAACACTAGCTACCCTCCAGGCAGTCAATGGACATAAAGTTGTTACTGTGGTGTAGAGACAGAGCTCAGTTAAAACTTTATGGATGAAAGATACTTTTGTTACAGATTAATAACTCACCACTCTGAAACTCTTGCTCCAGTCCTTGTACTAAGCTGGTAAGGGGATCAAATACAGCTGAACCGAAGCCGTGTTTACCAGCTTCTCACGGACCCGCCCTTCTCTGCTTCTGATTGGCTAGTAGTCCTTAACAAAGAACTGCGCATGTTAAACTCCCAACAAAGATCATGTAGAGGCAAGATCACTCCATAGATAGAATGAAACATTAAACAAACAGGGTGAAAAGTGGAGCTGCAGCAATGTGGAGTATGACAAAAATATGGTGTTTTTTGAAAATTAAACCATGTAAACCTGTTCTGGTGCAACCCCTAAAAAAGATTTTGAACCTGAAAATGAGCATAAAACCACCTCTTTAAAGAGCCTTTTCTATGTCATTGTCTTGTATTTCACTTCATTTAAACTTAATTACTACTTTGTTTATTTATAACTACAAGGATCATGTAAGTACTGGCTGCATATGTACTAAGTAATGGGCTGAAATGGTAACCCAGCAAGACTAAGCTATTGGACCAGCATTGTCTTGCTGGGGTCTTACCCAAAACTACCCTATATTAGAGATGCTTTGAAATGGGGAAAAAACGAAACAAAAAACACACTCAATGACTTAGTGGCATTAAATTCATCCACACTGATTGTGGCCTCATTCAGATAAACTGATGACATATTGAAAAGAGAACAGAGCAGTAAGGCTGTAATTTCTTGGGTACTTTCTGAAGCACTCAAAAGGCCACGTAAAAACGTGTGCAAACTTGATATCACCAGCAAATTAACACCTTAGTTGATCTACCAACAGTGAGAATGAAGTCTTTCAAAAGTTCAAAATAGCAGTGTTCATTTACTTTTGCCTTAATGAATATGCAATTTGGGGCGTTTAAATTTTATTCTGCAAAATAATGGGAGGGTAACATGCAAATACATTTATTTACGAGCCTAAAAGCAATTTCATGTGAGTGCAACAGCATCTGTATTTAATATGTAATTAAATATAATTATTTGAAATTATTTATTCGATGAACTATATGAATTGAATAGGATTTTTTTTTTTGTAATTTTCTTGATGCTTTGGCAATACTATTGTATTAACATTCAAGCCACCAAATTTCGTTTCGACCTGACTTCTTTGGAAGAATTTATAAAGTTGCGTGGCGCTGCCGAGAGCCCCCAGCTGCAGTGTGGATCACGCGTAAAATTCATCCAGCCAGAGGGAACGATCACCAGCTGTTCACAGCGACACAACCCATTGTAGGTATCGGAGAGGGAATGGGGCGTTGGGGCACGGTGCGGACGGCCGATGATTGTTCCCTCTGGCATTTCCTCGCGTCTGGGTCATTCCAGCACACTGTATCTGTTTCTGCTGGGGTTTGCGAAAGTAGTTTTTCAGGTGTGCTGTCCAAAGTGCTTAGTGCAATCTTAGGCAGGATGGGCAGGTACATACGATTTCCACATAGGTTCCACAAGGTTTTTACGCGGTGGCTGCTTTCTCTCCCGACTATCCATGGTGCAAAACCCTCATTTAAATACTGCCACCTCCATTGTGTTTGCACCTGTTGTCATCTAGGTAATGATTCTTCGGTGATCACCCACTGTACTACACTGTACGTGTAATATTTTAGAATGCACACGCAATTTAGTGCTCTTTATTGGGGATGTTAGAAAAGCCGGCCAGAAGTGTGAACTACACCCGTGGGATCAATTGAGCGCGTTGCCATGGCAACAAACCACGACGAAGTGGACTCTTCTCTCCGTATTTATCAGAGAGATTCAGCCAATTTATGTACGCCGGTCATTCACCTAGGTAATACTTACTTCATGTCAGTGCAACAGGAAAAGTTTACTCCTTCAGTTTACTCTAACGTTAAGTAACGGAAAAGTTTTTAGCTGAGTAGGATAGGTTTTACAGCCTTTCCTTAATGTATTTGTAACGTGTAATGCTAGATGATTGAAGACGATGGCAATGCCTAAGTATTTTCATAATTACACTGAGCCAATAACAATGTCTTGATATGTAATTACAAATAAGATGGCAAAAATAAAGTAAACATAGAATACATTTCCTCCAAAAGTACATTCTTTAACGTTACTTGCTAAAGTGAACCTAACAATAGCCTAACTGTTGATTTGACGTCACACATTAGCATCACATGATAAGGCAGATTATTCGCCATGCTAGTTGTCTTTATGCTAAGCAAAGCTAATGAGCAAGAAAACTGTATCAATCTACTCATCTAGTTCTGAGCAGGAGAATAAATGTGTTATATGTTAGTTATGTAGGGACAACTGAGAATGCAATATATGCTTCCAAGCCAGTGTGGTAAATATATTATACCAATACACAGTATACCATGGATGAAAATTTAGAGCACAGTAATCTTTGACTATGAGTACTTTATATGGTGTGTTTTTATGAAAGACCCTTTTTTATTGGCCTCATTTTACACCATATCCTTGATAGATGGATCATACCTATTTCCAGCCCCAGCCATCTGAGCTGGTCTTCAAAGATTTCACACCTGCTCAGACCTACAAATTACATCTCAGCCTCCGGAACATAGACAAGGTGTGTGAATGAGTGATGAATAAGTAAGTAGTCATGCTAACAACACGGCTGCTGAGCTGATGTTACAGTCAAAAACAGTCAATCGGCATACTGAGTTTGTTGCGTTGTGGGGAATTTTGTGTGTTATGTTTATGTGTTTTTGTCAAGGTGCCAAGACGCGTGAAGCTGGAGCAGCAGGACTCACCTCACTTTCATGCAGTCGGTAGAGAGGGTGCAGGTCAAAAGGTAGCACCCGGAATGAGTGCCACCTTTTTTGTCTCCTTTACACCGACGGAAAACAAGGTACTGGAGACAGAGGAGAGTCTAAGGGCTCCATTATGCAGCAGCAAACAATCATACACAGAAGGCTCGAATCAGGGAGCACAATGCATTGTCAAGGACACCTGCACTCAAGAGGCTGATTGCGAATTTAGATTAGATGAAGCTGTAATCGGACCTATAGGGAAACAGAGTATAGGATGTGGGTAAGAATGTGAAATTTGAGTGATATTACTCTAAATAAGCACTCCTTATGGAAACAATAATATAGCAAAATTGCATAGATTAAATAAATAATATTAAAAATCAACCACAGACTACACATTAAAATGGATGTACTTATGTTGCATTCAGAATTAGCTCTTGCCATGAGGTTGACAGTAGTGTTTTTATTGAAATTTCTCGAGAACTGATGGAAAGATTGTTTTGAACTATTCCTCATCCCCAGAGGAGGCACTGTAATAACTCTTCTGACTATTGTTCTAGGGCCATCATCAGGTCAATTTCTCCAATACTTTGATTGATGACCAAATACTTACAGAGCTAGTCACATTCTCATCAGCCTCCCCTGTACTTTGTGTTTAATGCTAATTAACAAATTTTAGCATGCTAACTCGCAAAACTAAGAAGATGAATAAGATAAAATATCATACCTACTAAACATCAACATGCTAGTATTGTCATTGTGGGCATGCTAATGTTAACTACACCCTCTCTGGCTAGCATTGCTGTTGGCTCTTATTAAGGGTTTTGTGGCCGCTTCGATAAGTTGTGTAAACATGTTATATAAGAAAATACTAAAAACAATGGCAACGTAAAAATATCAGAATGTGTGTGCGTTTGTGACTTGTGTTTCCATCCAGGAAATTGCTGACAGGCAGGTAGGTCAGCGCATCAGCTTGCATGTTTGACACTTTTTATTTTTTTATTTTATCTATCTAGGACTATCGTCACAGACTGGTTTTTGTGACAGAGAAAGAGCGATTAGAGGTCCCAGTCTGTGCCATTGGGCCACGTGCAATTCTTGACGTTCGAGACGAGCTCCATTTACCAGTCTGTCTTGTGAAAGCCTCCACAGAGAGGACTACTCTAGTCCGCAACATAGGAAACAACAAGGCCATGTTCCAGCTACACACACAGAGGTGAGGGTCAGAACAGGATGGAGTTATGCTTACTGTGTTTGAGTGATCTATTATATTTTACTAGACAGCAGATAGTTTCGATCCTAATGGTTGTTAATAGATACCCTATAAACTAAACATTTGTCAGTGTATAAAAATGTTATATATTTTTAATAATTGTATAATTAATATACTAACCGAGAATCACAACTTGACAGCAAACATTTTGATTATCAATCTGTTTAAAACAATTAATTAACATTTACAGTAATTACTATTGAATATAATTAACATTTTTATTAAACAAACAACAACAACATGTTTTTCTCCTGCCAATTTCCAAAACAACATTGCACCTATGCTGTTATAAAAGACCACGCCTTAAATTCTATTCTTTTCTATTTTATTCTAGCCCTTTCTCAGTAATGCCCTCCTGTGGGGCACTTGATGTAGGTGACAGCATGCAGGTGACTGTGGATTTCAGCCCCATGACCGTAGGAGACTACAGCCAGGACCTGCTTCTGCACTACCACACTGGTGAGAAAAAAATCAGCTCAAAACTACAACATTATAAGCAGGCGAGTGACACAAATAACTTTAAAGGAAGTTATGACTGCACTTCTGATGAAGCTAGTATCGGACAGTAGCATAATTAATTGATTTCCCAGAGCTGTAGTGAAATATTTAAAGCTGTCCTAATCAGCATATCCAGATTTTTTAATAATAAGAATGACCTTATTGCTGTGTGTTTCTCATCAGGTCATTTAAATTCTGGTATACTCTAAATGCCTCCATACAAGAGAGGCAGTGAGTTTTCAGATGTTCTCTCTCTTATTTGTCAGAATGTGTTTCTAAATCTGTCCGTCTCTCCTGTTGAAAGGCTGTGTCGCAAAAACCGATTTCATTTGGCTTCATCAAAATCTGACAACTGCATCAATACAACATTTTTCTTTGATAACACACAACTATGAACCCGGACATAGTAAGACTTGATATAGTATATTCTGTATTATACTGTGCCATTATATTTGTTATGGCCCATAAAAGTATTAATTATTTTTTACCTGTGTGTGCGTGACCTTAAAGAAGCAGGGGTGCTGTGTGGCTACGTAAACAAGCAGGTCTGCTGAAAGACTGCTGAAAGGGCTGAGAAGGCCATGTTCAGTTCCTGCCTCCACCTGCTTTCTCATTTCGAGTTGATTTTGATATGTGTGTGGGCTCATTTGTTATTTAATATGTGGAGCACTCTAGTTTGTATTACATTTATAGCACTTAGTAACAGGTTGGAAGCCCGACACAAACAAGGTCTAGAGGCATCTGGACTGGTTACATTTCTCTTGTGTGTCATCATTGTTGCTGAGTGTTGACTAAAATGCAAGGGCCATTTGTTGTAGGGGTGGACGATATGGTCCTAAAATAATATCAGGATATTTCATGGTATTTGTGTGCAAATTATATTATTGATGATACTGAAAAATACTGAGTATTTTTGGTTTAGAACTCACAATAACAATAGCTTATCAGACTACTGATTTGCAGCTTTACAGTATTACATAGATTGTTTGATCTTGTTGTCTGTGCTGCCTTAGTATGAATATGTTACAATATGCACTACAAAAAAGTGAAGGTAAATGCGCCCCTTGTCCCAAGTGAAACATGTTCCCATGTGGACATGACAACATAGTGAATGTGCACATTTTTTATTATTAACACAATAAAAAATCAGGATTAGCAAGAAGTCTCACCATTTCAACACACATTATTCTTTTAATTACAACATTAGTTTCTGTATTGACTGTTTTATGGATGGTTGAAAAACTATATATATGTGTGTGTGTGTGTCTTCTCACTCACCTTACTTATTAATGAGATATATTTGACCTGGATACAGGATTTACTCAGCTGTTAAAGTATTTTTTGTTGCCTTCATCCCACAAGTTAAGTCACAATTAATAGCTCATAGTAAGAAGTGTCAAAACCACTGGTATATTCTGTGTATGGAGGCTCATGTGTGCACTCATTTGTCCGCTGTTTTCTCAGGTGAAGATGTTTACATCAGATTGTATGGGACTTGCGAGGAACTGAACATCCATCTTGAGCCTGACTCTGTCCTGTTGAAGAAGACTTACATTTCCCTGGCCAACCTACACACAGTGTGCCTCACCAACCGAGGTGATATCCCGCTTCAGTACTATTGGACGACATGGCCCTGCCTGCGAGAGGAGGCCCTGGGCTTATTGAAGTATGTATATATGCACACAAATGATTTAACACAGACAATGCAGGAATGGGGTTTTAATAAGATTTTATAGAAATGTGGGCTGTATAAGCTCCACCTTTCCCTCTCACTGTGTGTACATGTAGTAAGTGAAATGACCTGCTATGTTTTTTTTTCTTACCACAGCATGTGTTGCCAGAAATAGCTCAGGTGTCCATCAGTTTCTTTCTGTCAACAACTCTTCTCTCCCTCTTTTTGTCTCTGATGCTCCTCGTTTTGCCTTTCCCCATTCCTCCCTGCCTCCCTTTCTGTAGGGAGAGCTCAGTGCTCCAGCAGGAGGAAGAGGAGAAGGAACGGTTGATTTTTCAGTGTGAGTCCAACCTGACAGCAATCCGTCACCTACCACTGCTGTCCAGTGCCCTGCAGGAACGCAGAAGCCAGGCTGTGAAGGGCTACTGCCTGGAGCTACCACACAGCTGCATAACTGTGGAACCAGCGGTGTGTCTGTTTTATATCCTCCCCCTCTTAACCAGTATCTCTTGTTGGTCCACACCCTATTTTCTCTCCTTGTTAAGACTGTACTGCAGAGATAATAACTTCCCACGATTTTCATTAATTCCAAGGGGGAAAACATACCTATTTACCACCCTCTCTGAGCTGGCAGGGATTCGGTAGCTTGTCCATTCACACAACAAAAACTCTTTATGGTCCTTAAACCCATGTATCTTTTCTGTGTGAGAGAATATGTATTCACGGTGTGTGTGCATACCTGCTTTATATTCTTTAAGTAAAATAAAAAATGGTTTTTCTTCATCTTTACATGGCTCAGGAGGGTGAAATATGGCCTAAAATGACAGCACAGTTCCTCATTGTCTTCAAGCCTGAGGAGGCCAAACTGTATCAACAAACAATATATTGTGATGTCACAGGTCAGTCCCTATTTAACACTGACTTAGGTTTCACATACAAAAGCATATTATTGCAACAACCAAACAGGCTCTAGTTTTTAGCCAAGATACCCAAAAACTCAACTTCTGGAATGGTTGAAGTTGACAATTAAATTTTTTTGTTTGAAATATCTTGACACTTAGTCACTGAAGTTTGGACATATGGTGTAGTTGTGTTGTTGCATCTCCTCTCTTCTTGTTTCTGTCTGTCACTGCATTCAGGCCGTGCATCTCGCTTACCTCTCACAATAAAGGGTGAGGGCTTGGGGCCTGAACTCCAGCTCAGCTATAACCTGATGAACATGAAAAACAAAGTATTCATTGGTGCCAAAAGCTGTTATGAGGTAAGTAAGGTTAAAGCAAAGTGAACAGTTGTGTACCTTAAGAACATTATGAGCTAGGACGTGCTAGTAATGTGGTGAGCTTGATGTGTACAATTTCTTTCTAACTGTGGTTCTGAATGTACAAAATAGCTTGTGTGTGGCATACGTACCATCTATACTAAGATTATATTGTATGGTATTCATGTTGTTCTAACCACTAGTCAACAATATAACATCCATATCTTGTACACCACCCAGTCAGCCAAGATGGTTAACAACAAGTAACAACATGTTTTATACAATTTTATAGTCGAAACTAACAAAACAGTTTCCACCATACTCACGTCTCTCTTTTTGGTGCTGTAATAAATTATTCAATTGCAACATTATTTTTCTTTTAAGTGGATAAGGTCACAAAACATAAATGCAATACATGCATACTAGCTGATGATTGATGATTGAACAAAACATGACTTGAGTGTTGAATTAGTGGATCCTTCTTTTCATCCAGGTGCTGGTGTCCAACAGAGGACTGATCGATGCCCCTTTCAGGCTGTCAAGCCCTGACACCCCTTTCGGCCGCTGTTTCTCCTTTAGTCCTGAGGAGGGTGTTATTCCCTCTGGGGCCAGCCAGATTGTGGAAATCACCTTCCACAGTCGCATCTTAGGAACCTTCTCTGAGGACCTGTTGCTAACTGTCACAGGACAGCCTCAACCACTTATCTTGACCTTCAGGTGAAGTTAGCAAGTGTAGTAACTCAGATTGTAATGGAACATTCAGATCAAAGTTAGTATAAGAACTGGTGGGAAGGTTACTAATTGACAGGAGTCACTTTCCATTACACTCACAATTATTATTTACAAATGCTTATTTTGGAATCCTTCTACTTGCTGTTGTTATTTCCAGGGTTTCTCATTGCTCATGTCTTCTCTTTCAGAGGTTGTGTTATTGGTCCCACGTTCCACTTCAATGTTTCAGAGTTTGATTTTGGAGATGTAGCCTTTGGTGAGCTTCCTATTTACTTGTTTCTTTGCTAATAAGTTTAAAAACGTTTCCCACATAACATATTATACTCGAGAGAATCACAACATTCAGAGAAAATGTCTTCCACTTAAGCCTCCTCTTTATGTTCTCCATCGTTCCACCCTATTTTTTTCTGTTTTTCTCATGTTGGCCCTCTTTATTTTAATCGCTCTGTGCAGGTTTCCCGCTAACATTGATTTGTACCCTCTTCAACACCTCACTGGTGCCTATGATCTTTGCCCTGCGTGTCCTGGGAGACGGGTTGGGTTCTCCCAGTGTGACGTGTGCTGAACAGGTGTCCGACGTGTCCATCCACAATTGGCAAAACAGTGCTGCTAGAGACCTTCACGTGCGGCCTATGGAGTTCACTGTCAGCCCTGCTGCAGGCTCTGTCTGTGAAATGTCCGATGTCACCATTAAGGTACAGTAAATTAACAAATGGAGGGAGACCCATTTAAATTAATGTTGCTATCCTTGCAGCATATTACAAGTCTTTGTAAAAATCCACTGTACTGTGAGCTGTATTAGGCAGTGTGCTTTTGTAAAAATATGCTGCAAAAGAGTGTAGCTGCAAAAGGGAAAGGTATTGCAACCACCCAATGAAGATATAATACATTTTCTGTAACAAGAAAATCCAGTTGGTAATACTTTGTATTACCAATATTTTGAAAAATGTTGTTAATGTTGTAACTTGTCCCTAGAATAAATGTGCAAACTTTTCTCTGTAGGAAGGCATTCATTTAACCTCTGAGTTACACAAGTTTGATGCCACTCTCATGTCTCTGTGCTTGGATCTAGAGCCAGAAGTCCATTAACTTAGTTTAGCAGGAAGACTATGAAATAAAGGATATAGCTAGAGAGAGCTAGAGAGTGGTATCAATCTTCTCAAACTTCCTTTCTGTTAGAAAGCAAATACACATATTTTCCAAAATATCTAACTTTTCCTTTTTAGAGGTAAAACTTGGATTGCAAAGATATGTTTACTTTTATTCAGCATTACATACTGCTTGTCCTTAAACTTCCTTCCAAGAGAGGACTTGAGTCCTGGAATTCATTAGTCCAAACTTCTATGGCAACAAACTAAAACCTAACAATCGAAATTGTGTTTAAGGATTTAACATGTGTAATGCTCACTGTATTCTTTTAACCTTTTGAGTCTCTAGTGGATATGTGTATTATATGTACAGGTGACGCTGTGCTCCAACACAGTCAGAGGATACAGGCTGGCACTGGTGGTGGATGTTGAGGGTGTTGGGAAGGAGATCATGGCTTTGCCTATCATTGCCAGGTCAGGTCACACACACATCATTTGAAAATTGAAGTTATCATTAAATTTAACTCACGGATTCCTCACGGCAATCACCTTCATTGTAAATTTATGAATCAGTTCAAATTAATCGACTGCAGTTTTGGCATGACGCAATGCACTTACTGTTATGATTCACATAGATCTTTTTTACTCTTCTTCTCTCTGTCTGCCTCTCACTCTATTTACCTTTGCTAATAGGTGTGTTGTTCCTGATATTGCGGTGGAGACTCCATTGTTGGACTTTCAAAGGTGTTTTCTTAATCATCCCTATGAACAGCAAGTGCGGCTGATCAACACCAGCACTCTGCCTGCCTGCTACATTGTGCTTGACCAGGTTAAGTAGATTAGTAAATTGTTTATTTGTGTATGAGTAATTGTATGTGGCTGGCTCATAGAATAGTGATATAAACAAGCACAAAATTGCCACAGTCACGGCCAATGCATGCATATTAGTGTGTAAGTTTCAGTGGCATCTAGTGGTGAGGGTTGCGAATTGCAACCAGCGGCTCACTGTGCATTCCCACATTAGCACACACACAATAGCATTATCAGAGCATATAAACAACACATATACATCTAGTTCACTCTACATGGACAGCAAACTTACTGTTATGACCATATTACAAATGACATGTTTGCAAAATATGTATATGCAATATGTTAATTTGCTTGAATCAAAGTTGTTTATATCCCAGAATAATCATGTCCTGGCTTAATAGCTTCATGAAAGTAAAAAATGGCCAACATTGAAATCTGTCAACTGTCAAATGTCCACTCTTGCAGAAATGGTAACAAGGAGAGGGGAAATACATTAATTCCAATACCATCTATCTTTTAGTTGTAAATCTATATGTAGAATAGATGCTGGGTCTGTATGCCTGCATTTATTTCTGTCTGTCACCTTTTCTAGGAAGACGAGGAGAATTCGTCACTAATGTTTGCCAGTTCCGTAACCAGAGGAGTGATTCTCCCTCAAAGTTCAGAGGAGTTTAGTGTGCTTCTGAAGGCTAAGGCCATTGGAAGGCAGCATCACACTCTACGCATTGCTGTGTTTGGCAGTGTCAGGCCACCGTTGGTCAGTGGAATTGTTGTTTTCTGATTTTTGTCTTATAGTGTTTTTCTATGAATTGGTCTCGTAAATTCTGTTCTCTAATCTGTCTCTGTTCTGTTTCAGGAGGTGGTCTTGTCATGTGTTGGGCAGGGACCAGTAGTTCATGTTCAGATCCCACAATTGGACTTTGGACGTATCCCGGTTCTGATGGACATTACTAGAGCCCTGCACCTGTCAAACCAGTCACCTATTCCAGCGCACTTTACTGCTTGCATGGTACGAACACACCAATCAGGCATGCACAGCATGCATACTGAACAGTGTTTCTCCTACTTTCAAATATAAGCGTTTTTCCTTGGTTTGTGGAAGATTTAGGTGCACATATGAGACAAAAAAGTGGAATTGATTGTATTTTAACATGCTGCAACTGTTCCTGACTTCTTGCATTCAAAAAACATTGTGAACAAAATGTCATATTCTAATCCTTTCACCTGCTTTTCCCATCCTAACATTCAATCCCAAAGTGTGTCAAGCAGTCTGAAGGGGATACAGTGGGTACGGAAAGTATTCAGACCCCTTTAAATTTTTCACTCTTTGTTTCATTGCAGCCATTTTCCAAAAATCAAAAAAGTTCATTTTATTTCTCAGTAATGTACACTCAGCACCCCATCTTGACAGAAAAAAACAGAAATGTAGAAATTTTTGCAAATTTATTAAAAAAGAAAAACTGAAATATCACATGGTCATAAGTATTCAGACCCTTTGCCGTGACACTCATATTTAACTCAGGTGCTGTCTATTTCTTCTGATCATCCTTGAGATGGTTCTACACCTTCATTTGAGTCCAGCTGTGTTTGATTATACTGATTGGACTTGATTAGGAAAGCCACACACCTGTCTATATAAGACCTTACAGCTCACAGTGCATGTCAGAGCAAATGAGAATCATGAGGTCAAAGGAACTGCCTGAAGAGCTCAGAGACAGAATCGTGGCAAGGCACAGATCTGGCCAAGGTTACAAAAAAATTTCTGCTGCACTTAAGGTTCCTAAGAGCACAGTGGCCCCCATAATCCTCAAATGGAAGACGTTTGGGACAGAACCCTTCCTAGAGCTGGCCGTCCAGCCAAACTGAGCTATCGGGGGAGAAGATCCTTGGTGAGAGAGGTAAAGAAGAACCCAAAGGTCACTGTGGCTGAGCTCCAGAGATGCAGTCGGGAGATGGGAGAAAGTTGTAGTAAGTCAACCATCACTGCAGCAATCCACCAGTCGGGGCTTTATGGCAGAGTGGCCCGACGGAAGCCTCTCCTCAGTGCAAGACACATGAAAGCCGCATGGAGTTTGCTAAAAAACACCTGAAGGACTCCAAGATGGTGATAAATAAGATCCTCTGGTCTGATGAGACCAAGATAGAACTTTTTGGCCTTAATTCTAAGCGGTATGTGTGGAGAAAACCAGGCACTGCTCATCACCTGTCCAATACAGTCTCAACAGTGAAGCATGGTGGTGGCAGCATCATGCTGTGGGGGTGTTTTTCAGCTGCAGGGACAGGACGACTGGTTGCAATCGAGGGAAAGATGAATGCGGCCAAGTACAGAGATATCCTGGACGAAAACCTTTTCCAGAGTGCTCTGGACCTCAGACTGGGCCGAAGGTTTACCTTCCAACAAGACAATGACCCTAAGCACACCGCTAAAATAACGAAGGAGTGGCTTCACAACAACTCCGTGGCTGTTCTTGAATGGCCCAGCCAGAGCCCTGACTTAAACCCAATTGAGCATCTCTGGAGAGACCTGAAAATGGCTGTCCACCAACGTTTACCATCCAACCTGACAGAACTGGAGAGGATCTGCAAGGAGGAATGGCAGAGGATACCCAAATCCAGATGTGAAAAACTTGTTGCATCTTTCCCAAAACGACTCATGGCTGTATTAGATCAAAAGGGTGCTTCTACTAAATACTGAGCAAAGGGTCTGAATACTTATGACCATGTGATATTTCAGTTTTTCTTTTTTAATAAATTTGCAAAAATTTCTACATTTCTGTTTTTTTCTGTCAAGATGGGGTGCTGAGTGTACATTACTGAGAAATAAAATGAACTTTTTAGATTTTTGGAAAATGGCTGCAATGAAACAAAGAATGAAAAATTTAAAGGGGTCTGAATACTCTCAGTATTTCAGCAGCGGAGCGTGCAGCCTGCCCCACGTTAATGACTTGTTGTTAATTGTTCTTTTTGTGCTTCTACTACATTCTTCAAAGCTCTCTGTGGCTTGTTTTCGTTTCTCGTCTTGATGGGTGCATCTAGCAGCTACCACAGGGAGCATTTCAGAATAAGAGCGTTTTGCCTGCCGGATTTTGACGACATGTTTAGATTTTGTTGAATTGGTGATGAGTGCTTGTTTGATGTGCTTCTACTATGATTGAGAAGGCTACATAGTAAAAATGTTTATTTTTTGTCTGATATGGTTGTGTTTATTGTCGATCAACGATCGGAAGTCTGTACCGGGCATTTTATTTTGAAAATTGACCGGATTTTGTGCCGGTTCGTGTTTATTGTCGATCAACGATCGGAAGTCTGTACCGGGCATTTTATTTTGAAAATTGACCGGATTTTGTGCCGGTTCTGTGTCTGTGACCTCCTGCTCTGTTCATCTGCTCTGTACTGCTTGACGCTGTGACGCACTGCAGCACTTCTGGTGTGAGCACAAACATTTAGTAGATTGGCTGCAATCAACTCCGACAGCAGAGAAGCAGACGGACTTTCAGAGTGAGTCTGGGGTCATGTAAACTACTACCCCCACTGTGCTGAGAGTCTAGCTCCGCCCCCGCTCAGAGACTTTTGTCCATATGACTTTGGTCAATACATGATAGCATCACTCAGTTGCTGCAGATTTGTCGGCTGCACATCCATGATGCGAATCTCCTGTTCCACCACATCCCAAAGGTGCTCTATTGGATTGAGATCTGGTGACTGTGGAGGCCAGTGGAGTTCATTGAACTCAATTTCATGGTTAAGAGACCTGTTTGAGATGATATGAGCTTTGTGACATGGTGTATTATCCTCCTGGAAGTAGCCATCAGAAGATGGGTACACTGTGTCATAAAGGGATGGACGTGGTCAGCAACAATACTCAGGTAGGCCATCGTGTTTAAACGATGCTCAGTTATTTCTAAGTGTGCCAAGAAAATATCCCCCACACCATTACACCACCACCACCAGCCTAAGCCGTTGATACAAGGCAGGATGGATCCATGCTATCATGTTCTTAGGATAATTCTGACCCTACCATCTGCTATTGTCCAGCCTGTGCAAACTGTAGCCTCAATTTCCTGTTCTTAGCTGACAGGAGTGGCACCCGGTGTGGTCTTCTGCTGCTGTAGCCCATCTGCTTCAAGGTTTGACGTGTTGTGCGTTCAGAGATGGTCCTCTGCATACCTCGGTTGTAACGAGTGGTTACTTAAGTTACTGTTGCCTTTCTCTCATCTCGAACCAGTCTGCCCATTCTCCTCTGACATCAACAAGGCATTTTCGTCCACACGGCTGTCACTCACTGGATATGTCTTTATCTTTATCGGACCATTCTCTGTAAACCCTAGAGATGGTTGTGCGTGAAAATCCCAGTAGATCAGCAGTTTCTGAAATACTCAGACCAGCTCGTCTGGCACCAACAACTATGCCATGTTCAAAGTCACTTATATCCCCTTTCTTCCCCATTCTGATGCTCGGTTTGAACTTCAGCAAGTTGTCTTGACCACGGCTACGTGCCTAAATGCATTGAGTTGCTGCCATGTGATTGGCTGATTAGCTGTTTGTGTTTGCAAGCAAATGGACAGGTGTTCCTAATAAAGTGGCTACTGAGTGTATAGTACATCTGGATTTTCTGGATCTATAGCATAGGACTCAAAGGCCAGTTAGAGGAAAGTGCCACCACAAGATAGTTTAATGAAATCATCATCATGTTTCAGTCGAGTCACTAGCTCCTGTAGTTGTTACTGTGCCACTATACAGGCAGACATCCTATAGTAGTACACAGGGACGTGCACAGGGGGGTTGCTCTGGTTGCCCGGGCAACTGCCCGTTTGCCTTTCCTGACTTAAGTTGCCCTTTCGACTCGCCCTTCCGAGAAAAAAAAATAAAATAAAAAAATAATCGCGATCGCAAAGCCTCATTCACTTCCATTCGGGCACCGAAAGTGAAAGTCAGTAGGGGAAGGGCAAACTCTGTTTAAGTGGCTGCACTGCTGCAGCGCTGCCTGCACGTCAGTCGATTCTGTTCCCTACCGGAATTCCTGTTTCCTTCCTTTATGCAATCATACTACAACAAATCATGCGTAGTTTTGCCCAGTTACCATACGTGATACGTACCAACAGAAGTGAATACGAGCTAGAAGCGCAACTGAATGTACGGGAAGCCAAAAGGTTAAAAAAGGATTGTATTTTTTTCCGAAATCTAAGCGTTTTTTTATTTAATATTTTATTAGAAGCGAGTTTTCCCCATCTGTCAATTCAATCTAGATTATTTATTTTCAAATAAAAAAAAAAAGGAAAAAAAAATAATAATAATAATGATTAAAAAAAACAATAAACAATAATATAAGGAACTCTTTTTCTCATATGTATTTTGGTGACATTTATATTGTTAATACATTTTGGATACTGTGTTTAGTGCCTTTTTTCAGGTCAGAGCAACTGCCCTTCAAAATTCCTGTGCACGTCCCTGGTAGTACAAACTGAACTCTGTGGGTTCAGACCATAAATTAACTCCGATTGTGCTTCTCTTTCCTCAGAGCCACGAAAGATCATTTTGGCGCGTTGAGCCCAATGAGGGGGACGTGCCACCAGAGAGCCATCTGGAGCTAAGGGTAGTGGCACACCTGAAGGACACACTTCACTTCCAGGGCCGTTTAGAAGTAGCCATCCAGGACAGTCAGACGCACACGGTCTCTTTGTCTGCCACAGGCACTGGCACCACAATTGTCAGTGACAGGCCTTTTGCTCCTAGCCTTGACCTAGGCACATACTTCAGGTAGAATGAACTATATCACTCGTGAGTCAGATTTTGACTTACTGTCATAATAATGATGTAGGGATTTAGAACTGTCCTTGTTATGTCCCCTAAGCCCTGGTTCATGCCAGTACCACTTAAAGCTGACCAACCATGGCCAGCGAATCCACCGGATGCACTGGCGAACTGAGGGCTTCTTGAAGAAGTGCAAAAACCTATCTGGGCAAACCATTCTGCCCCCCCTCTCTGCTGCCAGGAACAAGGACATTGTGGGCTGTGGATCTTTGCTCTCCTCTAGCAGAGAGAAACCAGTGTTCAGCCTCAGCCCCTCTCATGTGGAGCTTTTCCCAGGCTGCTCCATTGACATGGTGCTTACGGGATCTTCCGACTCCCCAAAGGTGAGACAGTTTGCTTGGCGGCCCAAAAGTGAATAAACAAGCTTTGAATTTTATAAGCACTACCGGTGTGTGTCCGTTGATTAAATGCATATTGTAGTACATGTACATTCATATGTTCTCGTCTTCCCAGGTTGTACAGGAGAGTCTGGTGTGCCGTGGCATTGTGGGTCGCAATGAAGGCGGTAATAAGCACATCATGTCTGTAGATGTTACCTGTCACTTTGTGGCTCCTGTTCTCACTATTTCTTCCAAGCAGCTGAACTTCTACATAAAGAAGGTTGGTCATAACATATGAGCAGGATATTTTTGTTTAAAACCATTATATTTACTATTTATTTCTGTCTGGTTGAAACTTGTCTATACAATGTTATCTAATTGTTGAGTAGGCATATCATAAGTTAGAAGCTGTTTTGGGATGACGTGGCAGGAATGTAAATTATTTAACGGAAATATGCAAGGTTTAGTGAATGTCATTATTATATTATATATCAACGTGTAAAAAATGAAAGAGAGAGCTTTATATTGTCGAATAATTATGTCTTACAGGCCCCAGGAAAGAGACTATTGCCCCTGTATGATAAGCTGATCTTGGAAAATGTGTCATCTCTGCTTCTGTCCGTGGAGCTCTCTCTTGTAGAGCCATTCTCTCTGTGTGAGGCCCCCGGAGTCCTCAGCTCAGCTACTACTAAGGTACATATCTCTCCCTTTTAGTTAACTCTAACTCTTCCTTTCAAGTTCCAGGAGGATGAAACCTACTGATTTTGGTAGCACACAGATGTTTGCCCTGCCACCTCCATGAACTGAAACTTAACTTAAATCTTCTGTCATCTACCAAAATGGAGATTGGTGATGTAATGTGATGTAACTTTACCTTAGACTGAAGTTGTTGTGTAGTTTTATATATATTACTTTTTCTTTTTCTTTTTTACCGTGATAGAGGTTCAGTTCATATATTCCCATAATACCAGTGTTTTCATTTTATCTTCATAGCTCTGACTTGCATTCTGAGAGTTGATTGAAATGCAGGATTGGAATACACATGATGTAATGATTTTTCATCAAGCACGCAAAACCAGATTCTCAAAAACTCTAAGAAGTTGTAGTATGTTGATTCGTTTACCTTACAATATGTGGAACAGACGGCCGACTCGACATCCAAATCCAGCCAATGAGAGCAGGCAGCTTTTTCACTGCAAAATACTTTTTACTCACCTCCAGCTCTCTCTGTAGCTCAGACGATCCCTGCTACCTGCGTGTGCTGATCCATTCTTTCACCAAGATTCTTTGTCTTTATAATTGGTATCTTTATAATAGCAAACAACAGCTGTTTCATGTGTAGGTTCGCGTCATTTCCAGTTTCACATTTCACGTGTGTTTTCTTGACAAAACGTGGTTTGGAGACCTGCGTCAGGTGACACAGCTGCTGTCAGCTCGTGTAGTGTCACATAGTGTGAACGCAACAACGACTTCAAGACTCCCATCACAAGACAAAAGTTGTGAAGTGTGAACAGCACGGCCATTGGCCGACGCTGAAAGTCGTGTAGTCTGCACGAGCTTTAAGGTGCTGCATTCATGTCAGTCTCATCGGGAGGCGCGGGTGACTGAAAGGCTGAGTGCAACAGCAGACAACTTGGGGTGTGGACCCAAATGCAGACACTAAGAAGGCTGGATCATTTCGCATGTTTTTTGAAACAGTCACTTACAGGGATGTCCAAACAAAAGGCAAGGTAATCCAAACACAGGGGTAAAGTCTAACTAAGGCAGCTTTGTAGCTTTAGTACTTTTATGTTATATATTTTAATGCTAACTACCATATGTCTTTTTCTAGTCCGTGGTTTTAGGTGACGGGAGGCAGGCCAATTTGTGGGTATGCTTTAATCCAGTTTACTGGTGGGATCGGGTGTCACGAGTCGTGGATGAGGTAACAGTGAAGTTTTGTTTTGTAAGATTTCTTATGTTTGCTTTTTCATTTGGGGACATATTGTGTTCTTCTGAGCAAACCATAGCTTAGTGCATATGGCAGTGGTTCCCAATCTGAGTTTTAGGATGAGCCATAGCTGCTGCTAACATTTGCTGAGCTTGTTTCTCTGATAACTTACAATCCAGGCTACCAAATGAAACGCATCATTTCCTTGATTAAAATTACAGATTTCTCTGGGTTTGGGACAATGTAAGTACCCAACTCAACAAAATATTATTTACATTATACTTTTAAAGGTGTCACAGGTCAAAAAGATTTGGAACCATTGGCTTTAAGTGAAAATAATGTCTGTTTATTAACCTGTCACATCATCTATTTTGGACAAATGCATTTCCTTTCTTGACTTTTCTCCAGTGCCTTGAGGTACATTACCATGGACAACAAGACATGGTGAAGCTGCATGCTGAGGTCCACTTCCCCAACCTCCACTTCTCCTCCACCACAGTGGATTTTGGCTGTGTGCTCAACTACACAGAGACACATAGAGAACTCTCCATCACCAACTGCTCTTTGCTGCCTGTGTCCTACTACTGGGCTTTCCTGGATGACCAGGAACATTGTACCATCAGGTATATTGACACTAAAAAAGGTTCACACTGCCATATCAGTTAACATTTGTGCTTTTACTGTTTACAGCCCATACTAAAACACTGTAAAGGACAGGACGTGGTGTACAGTTGCATACTGTTTAATTATGTACAATATTACTATAGCAGAGATGCAGTGTAACCCCCAACTCCACCCCCTCCATGGGTGTACAGTACATAGTGGAGCCTGTGTACCAAGCTAACCAACCAAAAGTGCATCATTACCAGTGATTATTTTTCTAACACACAATGAAATTTGGGGAAGCAAACTTGTTGGTAGTGTGGATATAATGACCGAGTAAACAAGCAGTTCTGCAGCAGATCTTATCAATAGAACTAACTCTTTTCTATCCATCTATCCCACTGATAGATACAGGCAGTAAAATACATTAAATACTAAATCCATCTTTAGGAACTAAACTGGAAAGGTTATTCCTTCTTTTTTTAATGGCACTGTAAGTATGATGGACTACATCACTGGACAATTGACTAATTGAATTGACTGATTGACCGATCACTCACAATTAATAGCCCCAGGTGCTTATGGGGATCTTGGGTGTAAGCCAAGGTGTACAAAGAGACTAATGCAATGATTCTTGAGCAACTTTACATGGTCATCATGCATTCAGTCTTCAAAACTTGGAATGGTACTTTTTCAAACAGTACAAGAGTGAGAAACAGTAGTGAGATTCCTGTGTTTGCATTGTAATGTAAGCTGGCTGCTTTGGGTTGTGTTCTCAAATGAAGAGCTGTTTGCTTATGACATATAGGCTCTGCCTCTGCTGCTGCCCTAATGTTTATACAAGCTGGTGCATTATCTGTGTTCATGTGTCACTCTATTACCTCATGGCTTTCAATTGTCAGAGTCTTGAGTTTTGTTATGTTTCATTTATGTCATTGCTGTCATTGTGGGGGAAAATAAATATTTGACTATTTTATTATCCTTTTGCCCGCATAGAGAGACACATATGCTGGAGGCACAGGAGTCGCAGAAAAATACAGAAAAGGAGACTAAAGAAGGTTGGAGCTCCTCTAGAATGGTTTCTCCTGCCTGTTCAGTTGCTCTCAGCCCCAGGCCTGGTGCAGACAAACAGAGCAGCACACAGTGCGCTGTGAGTGTGCAAGAGGTAGGCAATATCTCACATGTACACAAATCAGGGTTCACACCTGTACTTAGCGCTGTCCTTTCATTATTGGATCACTTAAGACTCATGTTACTGCCAGGTGTAAACAGGGCCACAGTGACACAGTGATCAAGAATCCAGGAAGTTATTGCAGCTGGCCATGAAATAGTCCAGCACATTATCCACTGTAAAACCACACTGTGGGCATGATTGGCCCTATGCTTTTTTTTTGCTTCTTTGTTTACATGCTTCCCCTTGGTGACATAATTTCCAAATTTGGTATTACTTTTCACTATACACAGCTGTACCTGTAAAGCCAAATTACCTTTCCCAACTCCTGAACTCATCTATTAGATAAAAAAAAATGGATATGAACACTAGGTAGTTAGTTATTAGTGGTTGGACCAGCCAAATATGGGCATTTTTTGTATGAGAATTAAGTTAACATTGATGGCTGAATCATTTCTGAAAGCTTTGCCATCAAAAACCTTGAGTGATTTTTGATTTAGGTCTGACATTCCAGTCTATAAAGGCTATTACCAATACAGCATTTCTGCACGAGTAACATTGCCAAAATCTGACTTCTTCTATTCCTGTGTGATGCTGAAATTGTGACCTCCATTCTGGCCTTTCGTCACTGCCTACCAGAGCAAGCTAGAGCTGATTTTAGGGTACAACATTATGTATCACCATATACATTGGCATGCCCCTTCGCTCTCTCAATGCTGGTCTCCTGCTCATTCCTTAATTTCACAAAAAATCAGTCAGTTTCATTTGCCTACTGTGCTACATATCACTGGAATGGCCTTCCATTACATGTTAAAGAAGTTTAGTTGAAACCTTTAAATCAAGATTCAGAACCTACATTTATTCACTTATTATATTATAAAACCTAACCTACAACTCTGTCTAGTCCATCCTCTTTGATTAATGTTTTTAATGTGGTTGTTACTTTGTAAAGTGTACTGGGACTATGCAGCATTGTGATTTTGCACTTGAAATCAAATTTATTGATTGATTGACGATAAGGGACTGAATAAGAGCATGTCCCAAAATGTCAAATTATTTATTTAAGGGTCCAGTGTGTAATATTTATTGACAGAAATGCAATATAGGGTCCCTAACTACGTTTCAGTGGTGTGTAAAGACCTTACACAATAAACCATTATGTTTTTATTATCTGGGAATGAGTCATTTATATCTACATCACCGCGGGTCCCCCCTTCCATGGACGTCACCATGTTGCATCGTCATGTTTCTATAGTAGCTGAAAACAGACAAACAGCGCTATACAACGCATTTCGTCACTATGTTCTTATTGTTCTGCGTCTGGTAGAATTCAGGCAGTGCAGACACTCATCACTACGTTGAATACGTACGTTAGAAGAAGAAGTAGTAATAATATACAGCAGGGGTCGGCAAATAAGTTTTACATCAGAGCCATATTTTCAACCATTAGACGGTGGGTAAGAATGTAAGACAATATTTACTTCTAATAATATGGAGTGTGGTTAGCTCAACCGGTCATGCACAGGTCTTATACACTGGTATTTATAGATTGAATACTATCAAATTGATTATGCAGCAACTGTTTGTCACATTTCAGCATGTACTGCAGTGTTTCTGTTACAGTGTGTGATCCGCATCCATCAACCTATGGATGCTTTATCATTTTTCTGTATCTCCAGGCAGAGAATGTTTCACACTTTTGGCTTACATTTTCTATGTTATCTGTCAATGGCCAAGTCGCAATAACATATAAATAAAAATAAATTTGTAAATAATTAAGTAAGTTATTATTAAGTCAATATAATTTCTTAATAAAAATACCTAAAGGAACCTCAATTCTTGACTGGCTACGCTCTGCTGTCTCAGAAGAGACACCTTTTGTGCTCTGTCAGCCACTGTTGCTGTCGTACGCTCTTTGAAAGGGTAGGGGCAGTGGTAGACTGGAAAGTTGGTTGCAATTCCCAACCTCACCACTAGATGCCACTAAATGTTACACACTGAACCCATAATGGGATTCACAGCAGCACATTAAGAATTAATCTTGCAAGTTCTACTGTTTTTTTTGTGTGTCTGTAGGTGTTTGATATCTTGCCAATATATGGTCAACTGCAACCTGGGAGCCAACAGCTGGTCATATTGTCTTTCTACGGACATAAAAATGTCAGCAGAGAGGTGGTTGTACTGTGCTGTGTAGAGGAGGGACCAACGTATGAAATCAAACTCAGAGGAGAAGCATCAGTAATCAGCTACAGCCATGACTCTACCCACATCAACTTTGGTCTGCAGGTACATATACAGGCCTTCTTTCCCCAGCTTCTCAGGTCTTTATCCCAACAAACTCTACCAATCAAATAGTGATGTTGCAGTTTTCTATGTGCAGATCGTTAAGGCTAGGGTAAGGGCCATGACTGGAGTTAGACTGTTCGTAGTGGCAAAGCAGGCAGGATTTACCACTGTTTGAGCTGCTTACGCAAAGGCAAAACTCTCCTTTGCTATGTTTTAATCTACTTTCTGTTAATTTGCCTCCTTGTTCTTCCTCTGCAATCTGCTCATCCATGTGTGATACATGACAAAACAACGTTTTTACAAAACTTGGGAATGATGCATTCTCCCATTTTCAAAACTACAGGGGTTCAAGAGATTTGTTTGTCATTTTGGATGACAACGTGTTTTCTGCATTTCTGTTGTTAGTTTCATGAAAATTTGGTTTTGCTTAATGTTAGTGCTTTGACTAACAATTGAAATGTACTCTTCCCCATTCCACTTATTTGTATTATCACAAAATATAATGCTATGGGATTGTGGGATAAGTTCTTGTATGTCATTAAATATAAAGACATAATATCTACTGTTGAAAGAGCCATCAAAGGCTTTTACACACTTTTTTTTTGCAAACCAGAAAGACTGATGAGATGAATCACATTAACTTTGAATGTCACTGCATAGTTTTTCATACTTTGGCCTGTTGCACTGCTATTTCCTCTGTATGCGAGTCATCCAGACAAGTTATCATTGATATTCAAAGCAAGGACATATTGATTTTTGATTTTGTTAAAGTGAGTGACTTAGCAGAACCTTTCTCTGACCTGATCTCTGATCTGTTCAGCACTGTTCTGTCTCCCTCTCTCTGATTCTGTGTTTTTTTTCTTGTAGTCAAAGATTAGATTTATCCAAATTTATTTGGAAGTCCTGAAACAACCCCCTTTCATCCATAAGAGACCAACTTTGAACAGTTCCAGACATTTTTGTCTCACTTTTCTAGTTTGTCTCCATCTTTCTGTCTCATACTCTTTAACCTACAAAGGTTCCCTTGTGCTCACATCACAGGGAAAACTACTTCTACCTTATCTTCTTATTATATTTTCATAAGCTGCAGATGGAGGCCAATATCAGATTTTTCTTCTTCCAGCTTCTTCCAGATGATGATGAGGAGGCAGATGAGGAGACAGTGGGACAGAGCACAGCTCTGCAGGAGGGCGAGCAGCAGCCAGATGCACAGCAGCAAAAAGACAGTGAGCAAATTGAGAAAGAACAGGAGGTCAGTCCTGGCCAGCCCATAGTCATCCCCACCATGGTGAGAATGGTTTCATCTTGGCACTATTTCAGATGTAGAAGGGTTATTTATTATGAACAAGGTTGTATTTATTTTTATTTTTTTTACGTGTGTGTGTCAGGATTACATTGATGATGAGGTGTTTGAGAAGCGGCTTCAGCTGCAGGTGGCTTACCTGCCACTGCAGGACATCACTCTGACAGGAGAGGGAGTGTTCCCAAGGATCAGGCTGAACTTGCCACAAAACCTGTGTATGCATAGATGTGCACTCACACACACAGACAGCAAACGGATAACAGTATCTGTAACCAACAAGCCAAAGGATGAAAATTTACAATATTATGCAAAATACAAATATGTTATCTATTACTATGTTTAACCATTTAGCCAGAATGCAGCTATTGCCACTGGAAGGAGGGCACTGAAATGCACAATTTAAGACTTCTCAATAAAAGTGTTTAGTGTAATGCAATACTTTATTGGTTGTCAGAGAAAATTTCTCTGACACAAAGAGCTGTCCCCCTACTACTTAATTTAGCCCCTAGTAGGTAATCCACTTGCGGTTTAGCAAGTAGTTTTAACAAGTAGTTAAGTAAGTAAGTAAGTAATGAGCCCAAATCTTCTGGTTGATGGACAGGACTCCCTAAAAAATCACATTTCCATAATGACAAATACAGCTCTTTATTCCTGCACTAGTGTGACGCTGTGATTCCCTTGCAGCAAATGAGTGCTACAGTGATGTAGTGGAGGAGGCCAGCACAGCTGTGGAGGAAGATAGAATCGTAGAGGAGCACTGAATGGAATTACAACTTGTGGTGGAGCAACAACAGAGGCCAACTGCAAAATCACCGTCAGTGACAAAAATAAACTACATTGATGTTATGCAATGGAAAGTCTGTATCTTCCAAAATGCTGTTTTTAATTATCAAGAAAAATTCATCTCAAATCTTGATTTGTCAGCATGTTCTCATAACGTTTTTGATAAAAATGAAAGAAATAATGCATTTGACATCTATAAATGTAAAGTCATAATTACAACAGCTGTACATACAGACATAGATATACATATACATACATACATCAGTGTTGGGCAAGTTGCTCAGAAATTGTAATATATTACTAGTTACTTATCATTCCTTAAAAAAGTAATATTATTACTTTACTTATTACTGGGTGATAAAAGTAACTAGTTACTCCTTACATTACTATATTACTTTCCAGTGTTTCCCACAGAATGACAGCTGGGTGGGAGGGGGGATTTCTAACTTTGGACAGGTTTGTGCAGCGGTTTTCACAAGAGAGAGAGAGAGAGAGATAGAAAGATCAAGCGAACGAGGAGGTGCTGCACGAATATATGCTCTTCAATACAGCTCCTCAGTCAATAATGATTTTAAATACGCCAAATAAAAAAAATTAGAAATCAATAAGTGGCGGTCAGCATCGTTGCTGTGCTGCTTCAGCAGATGCTTCAATAAATCAGATGTAGAAATGTTCACGGTTGAAAGCTTTTTGCTGCTCGCACAGAGTTTACACTAGACGACAATGTTCTTTGCATCTTAGACTGTGACACAATAATGGCAGTGGCTGCTTACAGCTGTGGAAAGAACGCCTCTCGCCCTCGTTCTCCACTCTTCCTTTAGTTTTGGCTCTCAGCGGACATGAACAACAAAGTCCTGTGCCACTGAGCTGCCGCACGGTCGTGGATTCACGTCAAGGATGGTGCGTTCAGTAACGAGTAACGCAGCATTAACACGCATTAGTAACTGTAATAATATTACTGTTTTAGAAAAATAATTAGTTACACCACTAGTTACTGGGAAAAGTAATATTATTACAGCCCAACACTGACATACATACATACATATACACACTTTATTTATAGAGCACTTATCAAAAATAAGTCCACAGTCACAAGACATTAAAATTAACTAGTGGCTCAGATAAATTTGGGATATGCTTTCCTGTAAAAGTGCATTTTTAGAAGAGACTTAAAAGAAGACACTGGCTCTGGCAGCCTTATCTCCTCCGGCAGGTTGTTGCAGAGCCTAAGCGTCCTGACAACAAAAGCTGATGTACCTCTTGGTTCTGGTTAAAAGGCTAGTACCCGAGTTCTGCACAGTCTGTAGTCGTTTCAAGGTTTTTGATTATGAAGAGATAAAAGCATGGACAACTGTTTCTGCATCTCTAGAATTTAAAATAGATATTATTTTAGCAATACTTCTGAGGTGATAAAAACATGACTGGACAAGCGTAGTGTTATGTTGCTCAAAACATACAAGGGCATACAAGGACACCAAGATTTCTTGCAAGAGGCTTGAAATGTTGAGACAGGTGACCACTAGATGACAGTATTTGTTGTCTGATATGTTGGGGTCCAATAACTGTTTTGTTGGAATTCAGCAGAAGAAAATGTTTTTTATATCAGCTGGTCCTGTAAGGCAGCGGTTCTCAAACTTTTTCATGTCAAGGACTCCTTAACTGACACAAATTAGACCCTTGAACCTTGAGGAACACCATAATTGATAAGAGATAGATAGATTACATGAAGTTTTTTATAGAGACAGAAAACTTCCAATCATACAAATTTGATAAAAACAGTTAAATACAGTTATGCCCTCCTAGTGCCGGTGGTCTCAGTGCCCCAGCCAAGCACGGCTGCGGCAACACTTTCAGTGTGTCTGGCCAAACTCATTACCATTGCCACACTATAGACCTAGTCTTTAGTCTTGGTCTGACAAATCTGTGGAAATCAAGGACATGTTTGTATCAGATCACAAAGTCATTACTTTTAACTGTGAATTACAGGCTGCTTGTACTGTCTAATCTCTCAAATCACTATACACCAATGACTTGGTCAATTCTTTTAATTCCTCAACCTTAGATTTCATAGCTTCTCAAAGACTGGTGTTAACAGCCCTGGTTAAATGACAGTATCTGAGGCCGTAAAAGGGAATGCCAAAAAGGAGAATGAAGATGCGAGAAATCAGGTCACCTGGTCCACTTTGTGGCTATGGAATGAATTAATCCAGCTTCTCCTTGTGACTCTACTAATTGTGAAAATTTTGATCACACTTTGCAGGAAAGGTGGAGTTATTAAGATCTGGTAGTATCCCAAATTCTGACTTTTGTAGATTTTGATCACCCACTATGGGATTTCTTGAGCTGTTTTCTTCTATTACTCTGCCTGACCTCAAATAAATCATTGTCTCATAAGAGAGTTTAATTTGATCTGTAATTAATATTTGCATGCAGTTTCAATTTATTACCATAAATAAAGTGAACAATAGGACAAATTACATTTAAACTGAAGCCATTTTCGATGCCTCAGTCGAGCAAATATGTGTCCCCCTCCACCTCTGTCACTGCTTAGAAGGGGTCACCTTCCTGCAGATCGCTCATCAGAGGGGTTGAGCCCCATTGCCCCCTTTCCTCCGGTGCACAAACACTGTATGTATGTGTGTGTGTGTGTGCGCGCGTGCGTGTGTGTGTGTGTGCATGCATGCGTTTTGCCCACCAAACTTTATCTTCTTTCTTGCATCAGCCTCCTGAACAAGAACTGAGACCCCATGCACAAATAACCCCAACAAAGAATCAGCACTGCCGGCAAAGCCAGTTAAATCTTCTGTTGGTGCAGGGTGGTTGTTTGATTGACAGCACTTTCTCGAGTTTTGTGAATTGAAATCTTGACATATTTAATTTGGTGTGACTTCACTAAACACAAATAAAAGGATAATTAATGTATTTGATCAAATCTACATTTAAAATGTAGGTACTGAACTGAACTGAACCAGTGAAGATATTTTTTTGTAGCTTTTGTGGGCAAAAAAAAAAAAATGCATTTTAAGTTTGATTTGCTCCACTGCCTGCTTTCCTCCTTTAAGTCACCTACACACACACAAGTCCAGTGGGAGAGAACAAAGTTTGAGCCACTTCAGTAGTTGTGGAACTCCAGTAATTAGGCTGGCAAGGCTATTTTATTCACTTTAAACATCGGATGAAGTGATTCTTTTCTCTTTAATGCAGATAATGTCATTAATAAATTAGTCATGACAAAAAATGATAACCAATGTATTTTTCCACTATGTTAGCAATTAAATCATTACCTGGCTTGTTTAGAAGTTTGTTGGAAAGTAAGTCACCGACTACAGCTAACACTCGATAAGCCTATGTGTGAACTGATATTAGGTTAATATTGTAGATCTGCCCTTGTGTTGGGTTTTACTAGTATGATGCTAAGAAGCAGATGCAGTTGAGTATCTAAGGAAGAGAAAAAACCTGAACTGCTATGTGGAGGATGCAAGATAATTTAATAATTATACTATTAAATTGACAGAGAAAAAAAACAAACATAAGATAATTTTTCAGTGCACCAAAACGCCAAGTAAGTACAAAAAGTCCCCATATTAAGGCAATTTGGTAACATCTTATGATACACTTATAACAGTGGTAAGACTTTCCTCTGCATACACATATCCTACACAAGTAACATTTAGGCTGTATTATTTGCATTCCCTTCAAAAATTGCTCTTGAGAATTTTATGTTTATTGTCCCACCCCAACTGTTAGATGAAATTTACGCCCATGATTTTATTTAAATACTGTACATTCTAGAGTTGTTGAGACATTTCACTAAAAAACAAATATCAACCTTGAGTAAATAGTCAGAGGGGATCACCAAGGTCATTATGATTCATCCTCTGGGGACCATGAGTCCATCCATCCATTGTCAACCGCTTATCCTGCGTACAGGGGCGAAAGGCGGGGTACACCCTGGACAGGTCACCAGTCCATCACAGGGCCTCACATAGACAAACAACCATGCACACTTTAGAGCCACCAATTAACCTACTCTGCATGTCTTTGGATAGCGGGAGGAAGCCGGAGCACCCGGAGAGAACCTACGCAGACATGGGGAGAACATGAAAGGCTGGGACGACCGGGGTTCGAATCCACAACCTTCTTGCTGTGAGGTAACAGTGCTAACTACTGACAGTGCTAACCAATGTACCACCGCACCGCCGGGACCATAAGTGACAAAGTTTCATGGCAACCATCCTATTATTGTTGAGTTATTTCAGTCTGGACAACAGTGGTGAACAGACTGATAATACTATCCCAAAAGCTTGTGGTCTTACCTGATCTAATTCTTTCAGCACTCGACACGGGTTTGGTCTTCACCATCTTTTGAATCCATGGATGCTGCAGGGCGCTTTATTGGATCATATCTAAGTAACAAGATAGATGCACGAAATGAAGAGAGTGATACACAAACAAATGTATCCTGACCGTTTACAGATTTATGCTTATTGAGTGCTGTACTTACAAATGTTATACTTAACATTTATACAATCATTCGCTCTCAGCAGCAGTGCACTTACTCAAGGCAGCACTCAATGAAATCCACAAAATAAACGTTCTTAGAATTCAGGTGTATGGCCAGAGTGGAGCTGTAGCCCAATATGTCTATTATTTTCAGTAGGTGCCATCAGAATCTGCATAACCATAAAAGATTCATAAGCAAGTTACAAGATACTGTATGTACTGTATGTAAAGGCAGCCAAGAAAAGGTTTAAATTCTTAAATGGTTTTGCTCACCAAAGAAGTTGTTTCTTTTGGCTGCTTCCACCAGCAGCTCTGTAGGAGGGACACCGAGCACCTAAAAGAATCTGGATTGAACAGTTGGATTGAACAGTTGTAAAAGGTCATGGTTAACAAATACTGCAGTAAAGTAACCGTTTATGTGGTAAACATCCTGAAGAGAGTCTGATTTGACAGTAATTTCAGTTTTGAGCAGCACACCACAAAGCTTGTGCAATCATGTTTTTACCAGCTTAGAAATAATTAAAAATATCATCTGTTAACTTTTAAGGACACCGAGACCATTTTACACGGC